TTTACAGAGAGGAAGGGAGAGGGCTAGAGAGTTAGAAACATCGATGAGAGAGAGATCGAGATCAGCTACCTCCTGCACACTCTACTGCAGATGTGTCTGCAACCAAGGTACATGCCCTGACCGGATTCGAACCTGGGATCCCCCAGTCCACAGGCCAACGCTCTTTTGTCTGAAGCAAACCAGCCAGGGCTTATTATTACTTTTAAATATATTTTTTATAAACTCAGAGAAGTAATGAGAGGGAGAGAGCGAGAGAAACATCATTGATAACAAACAATCATTGATCAGCTGCCTCCAGCATGCCGCCCATGAGGATTAAACCCGAAACCTGAGCATGCGCCCTTGACTGAAATTTAACCTGGGTCCCTTCAGTCCTCAGGGTAATGCTCTATTCACTGAACCAATTAGGCTAGGTATTTCATTATTTTTTTTATAAGAAAAAATATTTTTATTGATTTTTTATAAGAACATAGACAAAGAGAGAAAGGCAAACATCAATGATGAGAGATAATCACACTCTATGTGATTATCATATCTTGGCTGCCTCCTGCATTCCTCAAAGAGGGGACCAATTCCGAACCCAGGGCTTGTGCCCTCACCCGGAATGGAACCATGACCATCTTGCTCATACATTGATGCTCAACCAGTGAGCCATGCTTGCTGGGCAATTTAGCAGTCTTTTATTTATTTATTTATTTATTTATTTTAAAATATATTATTGATTTTTTACAGGGAGGAAGGGAGGAGGATAGAGAGGTAGAAACATTGATCAGCTGCCTACTGCACACTCCCCACTGGGGACATGCCCACAACGGATAGAGAGCTAGAAACATTGATCAGCTGCCTACTGCACACTCCCCACTGGGGACATGCCCACAACCAAGGTACATGCCCTTGACCGGAATTGAATCTGGACCCTTCAGTCCACAGGCCAACATACTATCCACTGAACCAAACCAGCTAGGGCAATTTGGCAGTCTCTCTCTTTTTCTTTTTTTTAATATATTTTATTGATTTTACAGAGAGGAAGGGATAGAGACAGAGAGCCAGAAACATCGATGAGAGAGAAATATCGATCAGCTGCCCCCCACACACCCCCCACTGGGGATGTGCCCACAACCAAGGCACATGCCCTTGACCGTAACGGAACCTGGGACCCTTGAGTCCCGCAGGCCAACGCTCTATCCACTGAGCCAAACCGGCCACGGCAATTTGGCAGTCTCTTAAACAGGAATTCATTCTTCCTTCTCTGACAATGTTTTGTATTTATTTTTTGTCTATAATTTTAGTAAACTAGGAAAGCTTTTTGTATAAAACCCACTTGGTTTAATGAGTATCACATAATGGTTCTTATGGAACAAGTGTACAAGTTTAATGAAGTTATAACTGTCACTAAAGGACTTTCTATCTCTCATTGTCACCAGAGTACATATAATGGAGAGAGCAGTTATCAATGGATTGAACATTGGAAAAACTTTAAGCAAGAGTCATATCTTAATCATCAGTGGAGAAGAGAGCTTTATAAAAGTGGAAAAGTCGTCATTCAAACGTCCAATCCCAATACACATCAGGTTATTCTTATTGTGGAGAAGACACAAAAAGGAAGTAAATGTGTCCAGTCTTTTCAGCAGTCTTCAAATTACCATGAACAAGAGAATATTCATTCAGGGGAGGAGGCTGACAAATGGAATCCTTGTGGTAGACTTTCCAGTCAAATATTCAGTCTAACTAAAATGAAAAAATTCCGTAATAGAGAAAAAACTTATAAATGTAAAGATTCTGGTAAAATATCTAATTGGCCTTCAGGTTGTACTCTAAATCAGAAAATTCATACTGGAGAGAAGCCTTACAAATGTAAAGCATGTGGCAAAACCTTTAAATGTCATTCATCTCTTATTGTACATGAGGGAAGAATTCATACTATTGCAAAATTTTACAAACTCAGAGAAGATGGACAATGCTTTAGTCAGTCCTCAGGACATACTCAACCTCATAGAAATTATCCAGGAGAAAAGTCTTATAAATGTTCAGAATGTGACAAAGACTTTAGCCGGTGCTGTACCCTTAGTACTCATTTGAGAATTCACACTGGAGAGAAACCTTATGATTGTAGAGATTGTGGCAAAGCCTTTGGCAGCTCCTCAGACCTTAGGAAGCATCAGAGAGTTCATACTGGAGAGAAGCCTTATAAATGTAGAGAATGTGGTAAAGCCTTTAGATGGTCCTCACATCTTAATACGCATCAGAGAGTTCATACGGAAGAGAAGCCTTATAAATGTAGAGAATGTTGCGAAGCCTTTAGATGTTACTCCCACCTTACTAGACATCAGAAAGTTCATACTGGAGAGAAGCCTAATAAATGTAGAGAATGTGGCAAAGCCTTTAGATGGTCCTCACACCTTACTAGACATCAGAAAGTTCATACTGGAGAGAAGCCTTATAAATGTGGAGAATGTGGCAAAGTCTTTAGATGGTCCACAGACCTTACTAGGCATCAGCGATTTCATACTGGAGAGAAGCCTTATAAATGTGGAGAATGTGGCAAAGCCTTTACAACGTCCTCAAACCTTAGTATGCATCAAACAGTTCATAATGGAGAGAAGCCTTATAAATGTGGAGAATGTGGCAAAGCCTATATATGGTATTCACGCCTTACTAGGCATCAGAGAGTTCATACTGGAGAGAAACCTTATAAATGTAGAGAATGTGGTAAAGCCTTTAGATGGTCCTCATATCTTAATACCCATCAGAGAGTTCATACTGGAGAGAAACCTTATAAATGTAGAGAATGTGGTAAAGCCTTTAGATGGTCCTCATATCTTAATACTCATCAGAGAGTTCATACTGGAGAGAAACCTTATAAATGTGGAGAATGTGTTAAATCCTATAGATCGTACTCACACCTTACTAGGCATCAGAGAGTTCATACTGGAGAGAAGCCTTATAAATGTAGAGAATGTGGAAAAGCCTATATATGGTATTCACGCCTTACTAGGCATCAGAGAGTTCATACTGGAGAGAAACCTTATAAATGTGGAGAATGTGTTAAATCCTATAGATCGTACTCACACCTTACTAGGCATCAGAGAGTTCATACTGGAGAGAAGCCTTATAAATGTAGAGAATGTGGAAAAGCCTTTACAAGGTCCTCACACCTTACTACGCATCAGAATGTTCATACTGGAGAGAAACTTTATAAATGTGGAAAATATGGCAAAGTCTAGATGCTCCTCAGAACTTAGTCCGCATAACAGAGTTCATACTGGAGAGAAGCCTTGTAAATATAGAGTAAGTGGCAAAACCTTTAGAAGGTCCTCAGAATTCTTATACCATATATGTAGAGAATGTGGGAAAACCTTTAGTGTAGCATCATACCTAAATTATCATCAGCGAGTTTAAACTGGAGAGAAGCCTTATAAATATAGAGTATGTGGCAAATCTATTGGGAGGTCTTCAAAATTTACTGCACAGTAGAGAGATCATACTGGAGAGAAGCCTTTTAAATATAGAAAGTACGACAAAGATTTTATTTACTGTTTCTGCCATACTAGACAGCATAGATTTCATAGTTGAGAGAAGTCTTAGAGATGTGCGGAGTTTCGTGAGTCCTTGACCAGCAGTGAGAACTTACTGAACATCACAGAATTCACTCTGGACAGTAGCCTAATGAATGTGAAAAATGTAAAAGAGCCTTGAAAAGTCATTCAGGTATTACTGTACTTGAGAGACTTCCTAACAGAGAGAGTCCTTACAAATGTAAAGAATGGGCTGGAGCCTTTACCCACAGCTCAAAATTTACTAAACATCAGAGATTTCATACTGGAGGAAACCTTACACTGTAGAAAATGTGAGAAAGCACTGGCTGGCATGACTCAGTGGCTTACCTTCGACCACGCACCACAATGTCAGGGTGCAATTCCTGGTCAGGGCACAGGTCCTGGTTGCGGACTCAATCTCCAGTGTGGGGCTGGTAGGAGCAAGCTGATCCACAATTCCCTCTTATACATATTTCTATCACGCACTCTTCTTTCCTCTCTGAAATCAATAAAAATATATTTTGAAAGAAAAAAAAATAGGAAACCTTTAGTCAGTGTGTATTCCTTCCTGTACATCAGAGAGTTTATACTGGAGAGAAACATTGCAAATGTTTATATCAATGGAGTCTCTTAAAATCAGAGAATTCATTGTGAAGGAAAGCCTTACCAAGGTGAAGTATGAGGCACAACTTTTAATTATCCTTGTCTTAATACAAGAGAACTCGTACTGGAGGGAACACCTATAAATGTACTGTGTGCGACTTTGATCAGCAGTGGGGTTGCCTGCATTGTGAAGCTTCGTTGTAGAGCGTGGACCCAGGAAGCAGGAAGTCAGCGTTGATTTCCCGATTAAGTCTCATGCCCTGTTTGTGGACTATATATACAGTAGTTTTCATGCAAGAGGCAGCTTATAGATGATTCTCTGTTATCATTGCTGTTTCTATCTCTCTCCCTCTCCCTTCTTCTCTCTCAAATCCTATATCAGTGATGTTGTAGTACAACGTAGGAGATGTTTCATACCCAGGATGCAGAATTGCTATGAACTCTGCATTGGAGAGAGGACACCGGTTTCTGAGTTGCACTCCTAGCTGAACCCAGAAAATTAAGTTTATTCCTTTCATTTCCTATTTCATATTCTCTGTGTTAGGTTTTTCTTTTCTCCTTTTTCTACTCAGCTGATACTCTTTTCTGCAGTGCTTTAACAATGCCATCTAAACCTCTTCCCCTCCCAAATGAGCCCTCTGGCCCCTTTAGCTTCTGTTCTGCAATTTAGAATTTTACTATTGCAATAACTGACTTCAGGATTTGGCAATATCTTGCTCTATATTCATGTAGTAGAAAGGTGACCATTCATGTTTCCATGCTGGATTCTAGACTTTTGAATATGAATGTTAATTTTTGGATTATAATAAATTGGCTTCTGTGTGCTTTATAACTGGAATGATTTTTCTTGTCCTGATTTTCATTGTTTTCCTTAAGAATTTCTCAGTGTTACCTCATTACCTTCTTTCTTGGGATGGACTCAGCCCTTGTTAAACAGATTTTATTGTCAATTACTTAAATGTTGCTGGATATTGGTCATTCTTCCAAGAGGAATCCCAGAGACCAATGCAGATTTGCGGTTGAAAAATTTTATTTTTCATCAGAAGTTATTTTCTATACTGACAGCATGACCACAGTTATATTCATAGGTGCGTTAGTTGTCCCTGCATTGTTTTCCTACCATCACTGTAAGTCCCAGGGACGGCAGGATAGCAGTGATTGAAATGAAAGCGCCACATTCATTCCTTCTTCAGTGTCTTGTGAATTAGTAAAGCTGGTAATATCAGATGCTTTGCATGGGCCAACCCAAAGGATCACACAATGATTAAAGAAGCTAGATATTGGGTACCCTTCTACTCTACTTCCTGACATTCCCATGGAGCATTCATACGTATAAGAATCTCCTGATATTTTGTGACTAGGTCTCTATCTGGACCGGGGGCTTTATAGTTTTGTTTGGGACAAACTATTGGATCTGGCTCATTGATAGGAATTTGATGTCACCTAGAAAAGAGTTCCATTTTCTGGTACTGTAGTGAGTAATATTGAGGGTATGTATTGATGGAAAAGGTACAAAAGATTTGTTTTTCACTTGGTCATTAGGAAAATAGATGAAGCAGACATTGTTTCTAGGTTAAGAGGGCCTTCTGTCTTCATTTTGTTCAGGATGCATATTCTGCTTTGGGGTGAAAAGCTCTTAGAGACTTCAATATATTTTATCTCATGGCACAAATGTAGTATTTACTGAAATTCAGAGGTCCACCAAAATATGTATTTTGCCAACCTGTCAAAAAAATGTCTGACTTTGACTCATGCACGCCACACAGTTATTACTGTGTTGGCCTTTGTCACATTTTATTCGACACTCTATGAGTAATGTAGTCTGTGCTATTGACTACATAGCCAGGTGTTTCTTGTACTAAAAATTCTCGCAGCACAGCAGTTTGCCAGTGTGACACTGCTTGATAATCTCTGCTGTAAACTTATCAAATCCATCTTGTCTAATGAGTCATTTAAGACCAATTTTTCGTATTGACTTTTTTTTCTGGCAGATCTATCCATTGATGTCAATGGGAAGCTAAAGTTCCTCAGACTGTGATTAGTTTACAAATGCCAATAACTACATACCTATCAATAATCACTTACAATATAAATGAGTTAACTGCTTCAACCAGAAAACATAGGGTAGCTAAATGGATATGGGAATGATACCCATAATTATGCTGTGTAAATGAGACCTATTTCAGATGAAAGTAAAGGGTTGGAAAAAAAGTTATTTCATCTCTACCTTTGGGCCCCAAAGAAACTACTATGCAGAGAATTTTGCTCTGGTGAGAGCTCTAATCTTGGACGGTGTACATATAATAGGCATGAGGATAACCGTGCTCAGAGTTAGCTGACCCATGTGGAAGCTCTGCCTTTTAGTGAAGTCAGCACGTAAATCATTTTTCATTCCCCAGAAATTTGTTTTGGAAGGAAAAGTAGGAGACTTTCTATATTATTATCAATGGCTCATTAATGAGATTACAGAGACTACTAAATTAATAACATTCATTTGACAATGTACTCCCAGAACACACAGACCTCAAATATCACAACTTACTATCAATATATTCTGTTGAAAAATACATTAATTAAAATTTCTCCTAAAAAAAAAATTTCTCTCCGACAGTGTTGGAAGGTATCTTATGTTATCAGGTGCCTACCCATTGATGGACATCTGTGTCTGTTTCTGACACTTCCGTCATCTACAATAGAAATTGGACTTCAAAAATGAACAGTCAAAACATAGACAGCCATCCATCCGAAAACACTGGTGTGGCCTATCAAATGAATGTTACTGCTAATAGTAGCAGTAATTAATAATAACTAACAATAGGCTGTCAAGCTTACATATATGTATCACAGCTATTAATATTACTGAAGGTATATTATATGCCCTTAAACTATAAGAAAGTATACTAAACACAACATATAATAAGTAAAACAAAACCTGAATCATCATAACAAATTTAATCTCTTGTGCCATACCAATGTTGCTCAGTTTCTGAGCATAGACTTAGGAACTGTGAAGTGAGGGTTCCATTCCAGGTTGGTACACGTGCCAGGGTTGTGGGCTCCATCCCCAGGGAGGGGCATGCAGGAGACAGCTGATCCACCTCTCCCTCTTCTTTACTCTCTGAAATCAATAAAAATCTATTATTTAAAAAAATTGCTTGTTATACTTAATAGAGGCCCATAAGACTTGACTGCCTTCCATTGACAGTATTTTCACTTTACAAAAAAAGAAAACTGGCCTTGATTGCCATCCAAGGTTACAGTCTCCAACCCCAATGGTCCATTATTTATGAAGAAAAACTAAGACTGAGCCTTCCCACTACCAGGGCACTTCATTATCCTACAAAAAGTTGGCTCCTCAATACTTCCTTTGGGTTGATTATCCTAAAGGGAATGTGTGCATGAAAAGGGGACACATGCTACCTTAACAAGTCATTGAAGGGCATGTCAGTCTTTCAAAGTCAGAGACCTAAAGTAACCAGAAAGGATGGTCTGAAATGAAAATCTTTTTAAAAGCAGTTTATAGCAGGTAGTCAGGTCCTAGACAACAATCTTCCTTAACAAGAGGGAATCCTTATCTAAGCCTGTTAATTGTCTTTTGCAGCCA